GCATTTTGGATATATTGGGTTTTAATGTAATTTTTAATTATGATCGTGATTTCTGTAGACTATGCAATTGAAAATGTTTAACCATTTTGGATCTACTGCATTTTACTGTAATTTTTAATTTTTTTATTATCATCAATGTTTTTCTAGGCTATGTAATTGAATTTGCCTGGGAGAATTACTTTCCTAATTTTATAATTACCTGTTGCGGTTACAATTAAGTTGTAATTACGTTATATAATTGCAATTATATTGTTAATTCAATTGTATAATTCAAAATATTTGCATAATCTAATTGCAATTACATTTTGTCCAATATCTTCTAGACTTCCTTTGCATTCCCATCAGCAGCTGCATACATCAAATGCGTGGTCGCCTTCTGATTCATGGAACAATTCATTCTCCATGAAGTACATGGTAGAAATGGCATCGAACTTTGCCCATTTGTTTAAATAATATAAGCCCATGGCCTAGTTTGAACTGTTACTCGCTCAGTAAAGTAATGTCTGTTAAAAAGTCTCATATAGAAGCAGAGCAGGATAAATGATGGTAAACGAGAAATCAGCATTTATATGACTTTGCTGGAAAACACCCCTTATCTCTTTAACGCTTGAGTTACACTCACACATCTCATGATATAAAGTGCTTGTTTATGTTCGTTTTAACTTTTTGCATCACAACCTTGTATCGCCCAACAGCACAGTTTAGTTATTAGTTTTACTTGCGGTTATTCACTTACAGGTTTACTTACAGTTATTCTTTTATTAATCTTTATGATCATAAAACTGATTTGATGAATCCCCCAAGGATATATACAATTCCTTAAAAAACCTGAAATGCTTTCAATTTTTTAGGGAGTTGTGTATGTCCTTGTTTCATTTCTCTTATAAGCATTTTCTTGAATTTCTCTTTCGATGTCTTTTTTTTTTTTTTTTTTTAATTGTTCCTTTTCTATCAACTCATCAATAGGAAAACAGCGGCCGCAAGTACATCAGCCCAATTGAAATAAGCCATGAATATACAGCGTGCAACATTTCAAGTTATCCTTTTTCAGAGTAGAAGAACATTTTTAACAGCAGCAAATACAACTGAACGTTGTTAAATAAGTCATTAGATAAGATTCCACAACTGTCAAGGCATTGCTTACATCCGTTTCCCTAGATACATTTTCCGTAACATGATGTAGAAAGTTTTGCATAACATTCGGAGCCTTCTGATGAATAGTGCAATGTTTTTAGGCTGTTAATGCCAGGTAAAGTATGAGTGAAATTTATTATCTATGAGAAAGAGTACTATAGTATGATCCAAGGAACTGAATGGCCACTGAAAGTGGACAAACAGAGAGAGGTCACCTAGGAAATGCAGCACATGGGATGTTCATCAAAACTTGTGTTCTGTGTACTGCGAGACCATTTTGCTGAAATTACACTCACCATATTCTTGCGACACGTCAGCTCAAGAGGGAAGATATTTGGGTTAGAGGGATGCTACCATCCAACGATGTTGGTAAGAATGGGTGAACTGCCTTACAGAGCGTCAAGAAAGTAACAGTCGACTGCGAGGGACGACAGAAGGCGAGGACAGAGTATTCGTCATATCGACTCTTACAGCCCCTGATGCGTCCTTATAAAGGACACAACATGTAACCAAAGCACCAGTGGCTGCAGTGACCAGTGATACGCGACTCGGTGAACAAGCTTAGATCACGGATGCCATTGTGTTGACTCTCCCTCAATGTTGCACAGCACCAGGCACGTTTCCAGTGAAGCCGGACGCATTCGACCTGTGATCTCCCGGACTGGAGAATTGTTTTCAGCGACGAGTTTCTGCTTCAAACTGAGCCTCGATGACCAGAGAAAACATGTCTGAAGATGTCCAGGATAGTGATGGGGTACTCACCTGAACTGTCGTCCGGCACACAGGTGACAGGTGAATGCAGGGCCCGGACGGCTTAATATGACAAATCATGTGTCGTCCGGTAACCGCACCTATTTAGAACAACACAACCCTGGCGAATTCCTGAGAGGGCTGCATCGGGAATATATTAATGGAGAATATGAGGTATTGACGTGGCCAAACAAGGGTGTGTGCATATATATGCTTCAGTATACAATTAATAAAAAGTTTCATACACAGGTACATTGGTGGTATAAGTACATTGGATACATGTGTATATTGGTCTAAGTGGTTAATGACATATGCAAACAATAAACACTTATACATTAAAAGAAATGAAACACTGATAATGCAACTGGCGCATTAATGCAGAAGATGACAATTAATGAATACACGTAATTGTGTGTCATCCTGTATGACTATACATAAACTACTAGAAATGATATGCATAAACACATGCGAATGATGGCGATAAATGAAAACACATAATCACGCATTATTCTACTGGGCTATGTACTCATCAATAAAAATGATACATACACACCTATACGTTGACAGAAATGATACACTGAGAATGAAAATTGTGTATCAGTGTGAACGATGACAATTAATGGTTACATGTATTCGTGTATTACCTTACTTGGCTGTGCATATATATTAGTACAAATGATACACTTAAACACTTAAACATTAATGGAAATGAAATACTGAAAATGGCACTTGTACATTATACGATAGATGAAGAATAATGGTAACACGTAATCGTGTATCATCCTAAGTGGCTATACATACAGTAATAGAAATGATACACTTATACATTAATATACATTTATAACATGGTAAATGATGCATTTATACATTAATAGAAAGGTTACACTGACAATGAAATTTTCACATTAATACGAAGATGACAATTAATGATAACACATAATCATGTATTATCCTACTGCGCTATGTGTACATGAATAGAAATAAGACATTTTAAACACCTGTAAGTTGACTGAAATGTTGCACTGAGTGTAATGCTTGTGCATCATTGCGAGAGATGACAATTAATGTATACACATAATCGTGTAGTGTCCTACGTGGCTATACATACATTAGTAGAAGTGCTACACTTAAACATTAATACTAGAAATGACACACTGAAGATGATACTTGTGGATAAATATGAAAGATGATGATTAATAAAAATACATGAACATAAATTATCCTACATGGCTATGTATACATTATTAGAAATGAAACCTTTAACACCTATACATTAATAAAACTGATACACTGAATTGTGTATTAATGCGAAAAAGGACAATTAATGATTATACATACTCGTGTGTTATCCTACATGGCAATATAGACATTAGTAGAAATGATACGCTTAAACACTGATACATTACTACAGAAGGTGCACTGAAAATGGTACTTGTACAGTAAAACGATATATGACGATTAGTGATAACACATAATCCTGTGTTATTCTACATGGCTTTACGTACATAGACAGAGATGGTAAACTTAAACGAATGATGTGCGTTGGATACAAAAGTGCGTTGATCTAGATATTTAAAACTTAAGTAATGGTATGCAACAATTATTGATGATGCACTGGTGATTAATGAAATAATGAATGACATTGGTAAGAATGAGTGACAATTAATGAAGGCACTATACATAAGCACATTGCCATAGGTACATTGGATATAAAGGTTGGTTATGTGGAAAGGATAGAGTTGTGGTTAAGCCGAATCACACAAGTCCTGGCCTAATGCTTGCAGTCTATCCATAATACTTTTGAGTTTTTTAAGTACTCCTGGTTGGCGAATAAAGAATCTTTTATAGGCTGGATCTGTGTTGTAAAACGGCATGTGCCACTCTCGTGTTAGTGGGCAGGAAGTGACATAATGGTCCGGGCTACCTGGCCGGCCACACACACAGATCGTCCGGCACACAGCCCGACAAAAGTTATTGTATCCGGTCACGTTTAATTTGATATCCAGACCCCTTTCGTTGTCAACCGGAACATCCCTACAGCATAGCAGTATGTCAATGAGATTCTACACCGTGTAATGTTGTCCCTTTTTTTCCACGGAAACCCGGGCTTGCATTTCAAGAGGATAATGTCCAGCTGCGCACAGCGCAGAGGTGGGCCGATGTATTTATTTATGTTTGGTTTCTAGCTGTATTTCCTTAATAAAATCTTCAATTCCTGTAATATTTCTTAGCGTTTCGTTTTAACACATTTACATCACTTCTACCGAATTTCGTCCTTTAAGGAATACTCCTTCTTGGTGCATCGCTTTTTATGTTATAGAGTGTATATGACATTCATAATGAAGTCTAATAGTTACAAAGCTGTCTCCTAAATTATTAATAAGAATTCAGTTTTTTGCTCTTTTAGTGTAGAATAAATGTATAAGAAAATTTTTATCTGAATTTGTTTTACAACGCTTATGCATATTACATAATGTATCTCTGAAATGGACTTTTTTTGTTTTAAATATCTTAAAATCTTTTGCGCCTCTGTATACTGCAATTTTCGGTCTCCACGTACATTGTAATACATAGTGCGTCAATTAGTCTATAAACTTAATTTTTAAGGTACAGTATTTTTGTCTACCTAAATCGTGCGTTCTGCCGAGTGTGCGGCGGCGGGATCAAGTACACGAAGTATCGTTAAGTGCCTTTCCCTGGTTGGCTGTAGTTTCAAGCCGAATAGTATGCAGTAATTCATGTAGCTAACACAACCCTACCTGCTCATGCGGTAATCCAGCTGAAAAGGGATATGCAGGCTTCCAAACGGATGTCGACTAACTAGTAACAGGCTGGCGCCTCTGTGCCTCAATTTTTCAGGCTTCATTGCTAACGAGATTGCATTAAAGAAGTGCTCTAGATGGAAAAGTTTCCTAGGAGATTTTTTATTTTTGCTGTGTTAAAATTTTATTCATGTAAATGTTTCTATAAAATGCAATTTAATTCTTCCTTTTCAGTATAAAAGTTATATTTATTCGGCATCCACTCAAGTGTTTTTTTTTTTTTTTTTTTTTTTTTTTGTGTGTGTGTGTGTATGGTAGAATAGAAAATGTTATTGTGTTTTAAATATTTTTTAGAACAAACCTGAAGCACTGGAGGCATTAATTCAGCGATGGGTTATTGCTGCCCAAGAATCACTTAGCAAACTTCATGAAATACTTCCGGAACCAAAACCTCAAACTTTTCAAGGTTTGATCAGCCATTTGCAAATTGATCCTGATGTCATAAAATATAATTCTGAAAAGGACAGTTTCGCTTAATTTCCCATTTTGATGCAAGAACAGAATTTATGTATTTGTAATATTCGAGAAATATATGTTAATATTAAAATATTCTCATGTTGAATTTATTATGTTAATTTTGTTCTATTTACTTAACTTACAAAAACAACACTGACTGTAAGCTTTATATGAATTGTTAGCTAAACCTTCTGAGGTGCAGGACCGAAACTCACCGCTGTGGATTTCCGAATTATTAAATTCAACTCGCACATGATTGCCAACAACCCTAGGAAAGCTAACTGATATACGGAAATCTGATCTGCAGGTGGCGTCCACACGAGTACGCTTGCGATGTTCTTTCTTCTGTTGTTGTCTTATCCATGAATTTCATGAGAGAATGGTTGCCACAAACTCAAGAAGATTGGACTTCTATTTCCACCACCAATTTTGAGGAAGAGCACCCGAAGGAGTCTGAGAGGGTCTCCCACCCCTCTTCCTTACCACCAATCCACACGAGAGGACTTTCAGCTCGCCATATATTTAAAGTGCGTCCATGTCGCAAAGACACTATACATTTACAAACATTCATGCCTTCTCCGACATTCGAACCCGGGCCCTTCGGTACCGCAGTAGGTTTCCCTAACCACTGTAGCGTCTGGGCGGCCGTTCATTCTTCTGATATTGTAGAATAATCTCTTAATCGTTCTCCATATATTTGGAGATTATAAATAGCTATTAATTAGGTTTGAAAAGCTGTGTTTAGCTGAGGCTGCAGTAGCTTGCACAAACAAATTCCTAGTGCAGGTGACCTATTTGGGAAAATAGTATCTCACAGATTTATTTTTTCAGATATACCGATGCCAGTTGTAATTTGTTGTAACCTGGGGAATATAACTTGTCTAATGCTCTTATATCTCTCACATTTTTTGGAAGGGGGCTTGGAGCATCTGCAGTCTTTTTACAGGTATTCCTTACTTTTTAGCAAATTCTAAATGCCACAAATATCGTTGAACATATCTGAGCAATGGCATGATTGTTCAAGCCTTTCATCTCGTCGATTTAAGAATAGTGTTTGTTTCAACATTGAAAACGTTTAGTTGTAATTGATTTTCTTCCACTAAATACGGGCTCATCCATGTTTTCAGAAGACTTACTTGTTTAGACTTCTACATTTGGTACCACTAAATTGAACATTCCCTAAAGATGTAATACATTTTTTTGGTTCTTCTTTGACTTTTTCTAATTCAGTTAACTAGAACTTCTGAATAAAACCAAGCCTTCAATTTATAAGTTTCAATGTAGTGTCTAATTGCTTGCCTTCCTGTTGAATCACTTTATTGACATAAATAAGAATATTGGACCAAATCTCAAGACGTAAACAAAATTTGAATGTTGTGCTGTCTTTTAATAAACTGCTTATCTCACTAGAATATATTGGGGGGGGCATTGACATTTTCTAAGGCGTATGTTACCTTCCAAAATTCCTTAACGGCTTCAATGCTCAGTTCTCTCCTTCCGAGTGATTTCAGCCTAAAGAACGCAATATTTATCAAAACTTCTTAGCTCTCCATAGATGCAGAAAATATAATCAACAAGCTTTGCCGCCCATCAAAAAACGTTTAGTGCGATTTTTAAAGATTTAACTGCATCACATAACAAACAAATTCATGCTATGAGCAGAGCAAGGTATGTAATACGCTCTTGAGCTTTCTTGATGTGTTTTTATGTCTCACCTGTTTTACCTTTCATGTTGTTTCCATTATCGTATGATTGCCCAACTCAACGAATAGTGATATCCCAAGTACACATAATTGTATGGAGCAATAATTCAGTGAAGCGCGTTTTAATATGTTTGGTATGTCTAATTTCATAAAATTAAAAAAAGAGTTTTAGTGGTAACTAATTTAGAACACATACATACCAATCTCAAAATTACTCCCAGTTATTCTTTACTTCTAACACCATTTTCATAACATTACTGTATTTTTCATAATATATTATTCCATTCAAAATCACTGTAATTGTTTAATTTTGAATGTCTTTGCTAAGATACATAACTAATCTTGGTTTCACTATTCGTTGAGTAAGTCGTATTAGACGTCCCAGAAAAGTCTTATCATAATGACAGAAAACAGTGTCTGTAAAATTAGTTCTTATCTTTTTTATTTTTTCCATCTTAATTTGATCCCGAGTTATATGAGCCTTTAATTTTGAGTTTGAGATTCATTAATTTTGAATTTGACAAGCTTTTATCCATTTGTAGATTTGACTCGTATGTAGATTCCAGACATTTCACTAGAAAGAAGCTTAGATTGTGCTTTCCAGTTTCTGAACACACACATTTCTGTCTCACAAGAAAGCTACAATTAGAATGAATAGCTGATAACAATAAAAATACATAGCGTCTTTTTTCAGAGCATGCAAATCAATAACGATTAATGTTCTCGTCATGTGTAAGCCGACGAAAACTATGATAAACTCTGTTAACGGAGAACGGTGGCATTGTCTATTTACTACGTTAATCAGTTTTGCCCCACGTCCACAACTATTGAGTAGGAGAGCGCCCCATAGGGAAACAAGCTTCCACAGTCAGCAAGTAAAGCCCAAATTCTTTCATATATTTGGTTCGAATCCCGCGAACGGGCTGGCTGCATGGGTGTTTTCGTGGTTTTCCCCATGTGTAACGTGTATACGAGCCAGTTTCCCTTAGAAAGTCCTCCACGAAAGGCATCCCTCCTCTTAGGCAGATAGTCCTAGTGTGCTTTGCCATAATTAAATACACCAACACCTTTCTTATATTTGGACACTGTATATGTGCAGTTATTTTTCCATTATTCATCTAGCAGCTATAACGCTGTAGGTTACGTAACTTGAGCGGTATTAAGATAATATAAAAAGGAATATACTAACTTTGAACAGGATACAATAAAATGCAATAGAATTCACACAAACAGAGCACAATATGTGCTCCTTGATCAGTGGGAATAAGATGAGGCAGTCCAAATCGTGAATTCCGATTTTATGCTAAGAACCCTGTGACGTTTGAAATTTCTTGATCAGAGATGGCTTAAGCTCCCAGCCATTTACTAAAGTAATCACGACAACTAGCGTGTACTTGATGCCTTTTGTTGTACGAGGTGAACAAAAGTCCCAAAATGTATCAGCATAGCCGAGCAGCATTAATCCTGAGCTACAGACCACTACTTCGTGAGTTCGGACCCCCAGACCAGTGTATAAAATCTGAATGCATGACAGTTGGAGAATTACCGAAAAATTCTCCAGGCAAACAGATTGGTGTGCCGTAATAAGTTGAACAGAATAATAATGCAAATCTTCTTTAATGGCGGATCGAATGCCAGAATGAATGTTGGTGTATTTAATTATGGCAAAGCACACTAGGGCTATCTGCCTAAGGGGAGGGATTTCTAAGGAAAACGGACTCATATACACGTTACACATAGGGAAAACCACGAAACGCCCATGCAGCCAGACCGTTCGCGGGATTCGAACCTCGGACCGAACTACCAGTGTTCAGCGACTTTACCGCTCGGCTGCTGGTAGGCCCAAAAAGAATGAAAGATAGGACATCAATTGAAGAATCTGACGTTTGCGGGTGGGATTTCTGGCTGTTTTTCAAAGTTCGATGTTGTCGTTCGATTAAACCATTAGGTGTAATCGAACGCCTAGGTAATTACTCAAGGCTTGGAAGAGTTGGCTGTCAAATTGTCGACCTTGGTCAGATGTTATCTTCTCTGGAATTTCAAATCTCGAAATCCAAGTCATGTCGAGGGCATTTGCGATGGAATCTGTAGTTTGGTCTTCCATAAGGTGCAGGTTTGATCCACCGAGTGAATCTATCCATGATGGTAAGCAGATACCTGAAAACTTTGTAAGTGGTAAAGAGCCAACAATATCGAAATTAAGGTGCTTGAAACTTCATTGGAAACTTTGAATTCGGCAGCTAGAGCATAGGTATGTTTGTGAACTTTGGCTCGTGTATGCCAGGCCAAATGAATCATTTTGTCATGTGCTTCCTTGTTGCACGAATCCAGGATGGGATAATTTATGCATAGAGAAAAAAACCTTTTTCGCGAAATTCTTCAGGAATGTATGGCCAGTTAAAATTAGTGGAGGTATCACAGTAAATTTTCTTATGGCTATCCGTGATAAGTCCGTTTCCACTGTCGAATTGGAATTCGGGTTGAAAGAAGTAAGGGCTTGCCATCACACCAACGATATGGGCTCGGTCAAAATACATGCTATAACAATTACCGCTGCATGAAATATGCATGACACCATTAAACGTGGGAATATACTCACAAAAAGAAGACGGCCGAGTAAGTACGCCGTATGCGGAGATAACCATATTTCGGCACGCCTTTCCAGTTAACCGTTCCTATGTTATCAAATGAAATAAGGTGTCAGAGAATCCAGGGTTGAGTATTTGCATTATATTCTGAAGATCCAGCTCAAGTGCTGCTGTAAGCTGATGCGTAAATTGCGTTAAGGGGACGGTGGACTTTAAAATGGCTAAAAATCAACCAAAATATTGAATTTGACTTTTTACTCTCGTAATATTCCATATACGTAACCACATCGTATGGAGAAAACCGAATTCAAATATTCTAATTTTTAAAGAAGTTACAAGCATTTAAAATGTGTAAACAATGTAAACTTTGCCCTTTAAATTTTGGAGAAAATGGTTAAAAAATGTATTTAAACAGTTATAATTTATATATTTGCCCAAAAGAAGGTTTTATTTCTAAAGAAAGGGGCTATAAATGTCAGTATTGACAGCTATTGATGAATTTAACTTTGATTATGTAAATGCTATACGCGTAGAGCAGGGAGAAACAAACTCGTTTTCCCTATTCGTTGGAAAAGAGCGGAATCAACGTCGCTTGAACCAAAGCAAAAAGAGAAGTTTACCTGCATGGAAAAAAACAGTAAAAAATATTGTAAAGCACTAAAAGATGATGTAAATGTGACAAATGAAGGTAAAATATATGGTGCGGGTGAATTTTAAAAGTTTCATTGGATATAATACATAAATTGTTTCTCCCTATAACTTTGAATCACATACCTATTTGAGATATGTTTATATTTGTCATATTTAATATTATGGGATTAA